TAACACAGCCTTTCAATGCATATCGCTTTCCTGAGTGTGAATATCTCTTAGATGTATTCCACGCTGTCGACACACCGTCGCATGTGACTCCTGATTTTTGTTTTGTCTTTCCTGCTACATTTTCAGCAGAACTAATGGATCTTTGGCTGTAGTGACTGTGTACTGAATGACTCATATTGTGTGAGTGGCAGCAGTAGGAAGCATGTTCTCCCCTTAAAGCTGAAATAATTGACAGCAGCTCATCTGCCAGCTCATCTAAATACAGAAACCTTTACTTGTACTAACGTAACGCTGAATCCAGGTCAAGTGATTATGGCATCATTGATTAAAATAGCATCACTGTCAAACAAATGGCATTTCGCCTGTTTCATCTGAGACATGCTTTAAGAAAAGCTAAAGCAGTGTACTTTAAAAACCAAGTTAAACCAAAGTTAGAGCTACGTCAGATCAATGACATGACAGATTTGGGGATGATATGGAATTTGAGGAAGAAGTATAGTTTGGAGACAAATTACTTAAGGGAGGGCCAGAAGGATTAAGACCTATACTCAAACTTGCTGTAAGACAAGGGGATGGAGGATGATGGATCAATTAATAAAACCCACACAAACTTCCATTTAGAAAAATAAGATAAAAAGTTTGAAGATCCCAGGTGAAAACACACACCTCAAAAATCCATCATCTCTCTGCTAGCCACTACAAGCTACGAGCTAACAGCCTAGTGAGGTCTGAATAATGGTGGGGTTTAAATAACACATTTGATAAAGCCCATAATTTCTGTGGGCTTTTACACTGTATCTTAAACAGCTGCACAGCGTTCTCTACATGAGTGACTCACACAAACCTGGTGAACTCACCCAATAGTTCATCCCATCTGAGCACACTCAGGCTATATAAAGTTGCATGTAAGCTATCACGCACACACATACTTCTACCTTCACATGTAGGGATGGGAAATATGGGAAAAATAAAACACATCACAATGTTCTTCTTTTAATGGCAGCATCACAATCACAGTTCAATTCAAATATTTTTTTAAAGTTAAATTCTAATGCTGCACAGGCTTTCCTCCTCTGAGCTGCTCGGTAGATGTGGAAGTAGGAAGAGGGTCGTTGTAGTCTCAGAAATAATAAAAATCCACAGTTTGCATTATTCAGTCTGTGAGTGATTGCCATGGTTGTTCTTCTTTCTGCTTTTTGGCAGATTTGCAAACTAATTATGTGCATACTGCCACCTGCTTTATCAGAATGTATACATACACAAGTGTCCTCGAGCATGAAAATCTTGCCTAATGTGAAAATACCATTACCATGTTTTATTTTGTTTTAAGGCGAGAGGTGGGGAATAAAAAAATCAAAGCCACTACCTACAGTTTGCTATGATAGGTCTATCTGTGTGTCTGTAGGGAAGGCATTAAAAGGACTAGCAAATACTGAGATTTTGATGAGGAAACCCCTTTGGATGCGTCCTTGAATAAGCATAGAACTGTATCGGCTAGAATGTGTGCTGTTGCTAGATTCTACAATCTCTCTACATAAAGTCATTCTAATCCGTCACAATCTAATGTCATCCTATCTCACACTTTAAATATGTGTACTTACACACACTGCACAGACAGTCATGTCCAGCTATTGTGTATTTAAAGAGGCATCCTGCTGTTTTCCTTCCTCTGTGTCCCCTGTGCCTGTCAGGGGCCTCTAAAACTGTTGTTTAATGAGCCCAGGCTCTCCTCAGGCTCCATCCCAGTCTGCTCTGCTTCTGTGTGTCTGCTGTTGCAGTGCTGACCAGAGGAGACATGCAGGTCTGTGTCCCAGGGCTAATTGCTGCTACTTGGCTGATAGTCTTTCTGTGCTCCGCTCTCATTGACTCCCCGGACTCCAGGGGGATTCCCGTAGGCACCCAAAGACAAACAAACCTGGGCGGACAATCGATAACGGATGCAAGACTTACCGCTCAGCACAGCCGCTGATTAAGATTCCCTGGGAATGTGTGCGTGCGCGTATGTGATAGTGAGTGTGTGTAAAGGTGTTTGCTGATCGTCCCCACTCTGTCAGTGCTAACTGGAATCTTCAGCCTGTCCCTAAGTGCTTGTTTATGTGTTTTTGATTAAGAGCATGGCAGAGTTCAGAGGCATCCTCTCAAAACCAACACACTAATGCTCCCAGGTAATTCTTCCTACAACAATTTAAAGCAACAATATGTAACTTTTCCACGTTCAAATAGCAGTTTCAAAGGTCGAGATGTGCAGCTTTACGGCACTAGTTAACACACCAGCCTTCGGTTTTAAAAGAAGCCGGTTAGCCCATCTGTTTGATACAACGGTCGAGGCTAAGAGACAGAAAGGAGGGGGAAGTATGAAGCTTAGAAGAGAAAAAGAGAGAGTGAACGAGCAAGAAGCCGAACATAAAGCAACAATCTGACGGAGGAGAGTACATCTTTGCAGATATTATTCATAACACATAGCACATAGCGTTATGGGTGTCATTGTTTTCTCATGTTTAGCAGCTTTACCCAGTGAAGAAAGTCATCTAACTCGAGATATGTTTCAGGTTTGCATTCAAATAAACAGAGAAATCCATTTAACGAGTTGTCTCTCTACTTATCAATCTTCAAGTTAGCTTTGTAAGTTTGGGACTTTACAAACCTCTCAATTATCAAAATATATTACCCTCTCCAATGTAGCCATTTAGCCACAAATCATAGATACAGTACCATGACAACACCAAACCAAATTCCCTCATATTCTTACTTTAAAAGTGAGGTCTGGTACTTTACTGACGGAGTAAAATGTGTCTGTTCTATTATCAGTATCCTCAGGCGTAGCTTTCCTTTGTTTTGTACAATATGTATTATATTAGTGATAATTATTGTCACATCATTGGAAAACATACTAATCAAACACGGGTATAAAATAAATAAAAAATGTCATATTAAGACATGCTTTCCAATACATATAATGACATGAGAAAAAAGGTAACACAACACACATTAACAGAAGTACTCACAATGTCCTACAGTATAGCATACCACAACATTTGGCCGTAAAATCAAAGTCGTTTTTAAGGTTCTCTTCTCTTATTTTTAATTCTCTTATCTCAGCAAAATCTTGAGTTTCTGTGGACGTTTTAATTATTTTTAGATCTAGTCAGTCACAACAGTATTATATAAACCCTGTACCTTGAAATATTTACATGACAGCAAGCGTACACTGTTGATTTCAATGTCTATTCCAGTCATGTCTTTCTGTACAGTACAGTGCCACTGTATCTCATATTGTTTTTGTGACCAAATTAAAAAGGAGTGTCTGACATCTCGTGTTAGTGTATGCCGCTAACTGATTTCGGTTCGCAAGTGCGCCTTGTCTTCTCCCCCCGCTCTCCCTCATCCATTTGCCTCTCCTCCTCGTGTCTCTCAGGGCTCATGTTTGCTTTTGTTCTCGTCTCTAGCCCGACTGACTCACAATGATGATCTTGACCAAGCACAGGAAAAAGGTCAAGGTTGGCCCGCAAATTGCCTCAAAGCAATCAGCCTTCTCTCTCTGCGCTAACAGTGTGAGCGCTCTGTCGCCATCTCTCCATCTTTTTTCCCTTTCCTCCTCTGTCTCTGTGTTTACCTTGGGGGGGTGGATGTGTGTGTCAGGCAGGATTGGCAGCAGGAGGGGTCTGCCCTGCTTTGAAGTCCCGGCTCTGACCGGCGGCTGAGCGAGGGCCGGGGACTTGAAAGCGGGGAGCGTCAGTCACTGGGTGACATTTCAGCACAGACCAGCGTGACCTAGTAGGGGGCATTTGTGTGTGTGTGTGTGTGTGTGTGTGTGTGTGTGTGTGTGTGTGTGTGTGTGTGTGTGTGTGTGTGTGTGTGTGTGTGTGTGTGTGTGTGTGTGTTTATAATAGTATGTATATATGTGTGTGTGTTTGGACAATGAGTGAGTGTCTCCTTGTGGCTTCAGCTGTCCTCAAGGACTGCCGGCTGCTGGAGGCTGTTTGCCTCTGCACCAAAGGGATTACCTTCCATTACATGAAGAACAGAATCACCCATTCAACCTCTAACCCCTCGCTCAACAATAGTGCCATTGGGATGTAGTGCTACAGCTGATACCCGTGTTATAAATACACACTCGGTAACTAGATCTGGTGCACACAGATATTGCATGAGCTGTGGCTATATGTAACATTTTTTATAGGATTTTCAGAACACACAAAGGCTCAAGGACAGCCTCCTTTGGGTCAGCTGTTGGTTCCAGCCCAGTGTTTTCTTGAGTGGCATTACTCTGATGGCTTCACACACATGAAAGGCTTCACTTTGAACGTGTCACCCAGTACCCACACACTCAGCTCAAACGACATCAAAGCCTGCCCCGTGGCCCAGAGCTGGACAAACGTCTTCATCCACCGGCCTGATTGCGTGTTTGTTAGTGCGCCTTTCTGTCTGTCCTGTAAATGGTGTAAACAGGTGTTAACATGTCAGCCCCACAAGATGCCACATGCCGCTGTTTCATGATCTCCTGAACAGCTGTCCCCTGCCATTGTGTGTGGGTGTGAGTGTGAGCAAATGTGTGTTTTGTATTAGTTTGCCATGAGGGATATAAATGGCTGCAAGAGGAGCCTTAGCCCCTACATATTGTGCAAAGCCAAGGACAAACAATGACAAAGGGCAGAGAAATAAAAGGGAGCTTTATGGCATTTACTGATTTCCTTGAGATTTTCCATCCACCTTCAATCTCATTGTTTGTGTGTCTGTGTGTTCTTGCTTTGTATGTCATCATGCTGCAGGTATAGGTGTGAATCTCTGTGAGCTTGAAGGTGATTTAGTACAAGATCATATTCCTTTAACCCTATGAGTGCATCGACAGCCGTGTGGTTAAATGTACGCCCTTGAGCAAAAGAAAGGAGACAGAAGCGTGCCCCCCCCCCCCCCCCTCTCTCTCTTTATGTGTTGGTCTCTATGGATTAAAGAAGCAGCTAATAACGCCTATAATGTCAAATGTACATATCTGTCCTCAGGAGGAGATTGAGAGACTGGACTACCACCACATCCTGCCTCTGTTCTTCGATGGCTTATGCGAGACCGTTCATCCGTATGAGTTCTTTGCCCGGCAGGGGGTCCATGACCTGCTCGAGCACGGAGGCCCCAAGATCCAGCCTGTGATTCCCCAGCTCATCATCCCCATCAAGAGTGAGTGTGGGAGGGTGTCCACTCTCAGGGGTAGCACATCACATGTAACATAGCTACTATCCAGATTGACCCTGTGAGTGTGTGTGTAGATTAGATTTTGCATTCATTCTGATCCCCTTGACATTCATGGGATCCTCTAACCTCTAAAGAAATATCCTACAAATTATATTATAAAATGTTTTCACAATCTTTTATAAATGCTCAGATCATAGTTGGATTGTTATGAAGTGATGTAGACAGGCTTATTGAAGATATGTCTTCAGATGAATTACTGTAGATAAATAATCACAGCAATTTTCTGTGGTTGGAGCAGGTATTCAATTAATTCAGTCCAACCTACAGTCTTATTCACTGGCATTAGCTTGACACATTTCCCATAAGAAAATATAGTTATTTCTGCACGAGTGATTGACAGCCATGTAATCTTCCTAGTTAAGAGTGAAGCGGCAGCCCAGATACATAGATTTTTTGACTCATCACTATTTCATTATTTACGATTCTGATGACAGCATCATTACATATTGATTGCTGTTTACTGATCCAAGACAAATCCAAAGTCTACATTTTCAAAGATCTCCACATTTTCTCATAGCATTATTAGCTTCGGCCTAAATTAAGCTGATAAACCAGAAGCTAATAGCACACACATGTGGGCACAAATAAAACAAATGTCTAGTGTAGCTGTTTTTTTAATTCAATGTCAGATAAGTAATCAGGAGAATCATTAACAATGACTCAAAATTGACCTAAAAATTGATGAAATGGTCAAACCAAAATGGATGATGTTAAATGAAAAAACATCAGAATAAGAATATACAATGTAATAACACATTTATGAATGTTTGAACATTGACTCACTTCAACCACTCTCTGCGTTTATGCCATGCAACCAAAATAGAGACACAAACTTTTCCCGGAATAGACTCACCTGTCTTAAACGCCATAACAGATTCTAACATTACCATACAACCAGCCCTGTGACAAGTCCTAATTTGGTTTTGCAGTCACACTGTTCCTATTATTACTTTAACCCTCAGGGCAAAGCGTCCTTGTTTTTTGCATTCACCGGAAGAAGTCGGTTCTAAAAGCATGCCTGCTAATCTGCCATGTGCGATGTGGTGACATGCTACATTTAACTGTGTCATAGCGTCGGGGCCATCCCCCTACCTTTGCAGCCTGACACGTTTAAATACGAACACACTCACAAGTTGGCAGATGGAGGTGGATGGAAAGGTTGTGTCCCAGGGTGGAGTGGTTGATGACTTCAGAAATAGACATCAGGATGTACAGTGATGGGGACAGGAAAGGTTTCTTGTTTGACTAACACAAAGAGGATGAAGGAACAGGGAAGTTTGAGGAATGAGAGCAGAGTATTGCTTTTGTTTTATTACACCCCCCCACCACACACACACACACACACACACACACACACACAGACACACACAGACACACTGTCTTTTGTTTGGCGCCGCTGCCAAGTGGAGTGTCAGTTTCAAAGTGGGAGCCTTTAAGTGGCGCTCTGTGAGCCTAGGATAGTGTTCATGTCATGGACAGTTGGCTGGGTGTGTGTGTGTGTGTGTGTGTGTGTGTGTGTGTGTGTGTGTGTGTATGTGAAGTGTGTTCTGTGTTTATGTGTAGCTGTTGGACGTCTGTGGAGGCAGAAGGGCGTAACAGCCAACAATAGGCAGCACTGTTGGGGACCCTGAGACGCTGTGACAAACTGACCCTGGCACAGAGACTGCTACACGCACACACTAAACACCACACTGAGCACAAAGTCTTACACATCTTACACTGTCATATTCTAGATCTGTATTTAATAAGCTTGTTTTTTCATAGTGAACAAACATAGTGTTTATTTCTGTAAAGTAAAATACACTGAATTAATTGTTTTGTTCATTTTGATGACATACTTAATACGATATGTTGTTCACAGTTGCATGATTGAATCTTTTATAAAGACGGTTCAAATATTTCTAGGTCCATTAGGGCTGCACTAATAACAGCAAATTTAATGAATTTTGCAATATGAGCATCTGCAATAAAGCCGTTGGAAACGACTGCCTCAGTTAGAATGAATGCGACAATTATTTAAGTGAATGTGCCACGCTTTCTTTCCCGGCATGCTTTCATTTCGCTTATCAGATGGAGCATTCCCTCAGATGAATTACTAATAACGGGAACTCGTTTGGATTCAGGAGGGTAATGTTGCAAACACTGTTATTGTCTCAAATGTGCAAAAACAACATAAACATAGGAGGTGTGTGTGTTAGATAAAAAAATGCACACGTGTTTATTTGTTGCACGTCATATAATATATATAAAATGTGTTTAAAGATTTATTTTGGGGGTTTTTATGCCTTTATTTTAAAGATAGGACCGGGGAGAGAGAGAGAGAGAGAGAGAGAGAGAGAGAGAGAGAGAGAGAGAGAGAGAGAGAGAGAGTGGGGAATGACATGGAGACACAGGTTGGATCCGAACCTTGTACCACCCGCTCTGGAGGACTTAAGCCTCTGTACATGGGGCGCACGTACATAACATTATGCTACTGGCGCCCCCACCATCATTATATTGAACAGTGTATAACATTTGCAGATTGTTTTCTCATGTCCTACTATCCCAGTGTCTGTTTAAATATTTGATGTGGACTCCCTTTATCACAAGGCCTTCACTTTACATATGAGTTGATACACAGAGTGACCAGGGCCACTTGCTAACTTAGACAGTAGTTTATAAATTCAAACCCCTCAGCACTTTTTGTCATTTGCTCGTGGGAGGCCAGAGCAAAGGTGACGGTTATGCTCCTCATGAAAAAAAAACACTCTTTGCACTGATAATGGAATTTTAAATGGCCTGCTCCTTATTAACTTTCTTGGTTTATTAAAAATCAGGTCTGTTTCTCCATCCACAAGGCAAAGCCGCCAGTCCGTGTCTCTGTTGCAGATTAATTACTTTTCCATGGAGCAGGGAAGAAGAAGGGATGGTGGGAAGAGGAAGAAAGTAAAAAGCCGTCTGCAGTCTAAAATGGCAAGATATATATTTTTCTCCTCTGACGTTAATACATCTTCAATGTGGCTGGCGGGCTCTTATCTGCAGAGCGACTGAGTCACGTCAGACCCTGGTGAATTTTGATGATGACTGCAGGTCACCCAATGAGAATACACAATGAAGAAGGCTCCGGCTGACATTTTACTCGAAGGGCCCTGTCCTCAGTGACTTGAAGACGGAACTTTTTCCTAGTTTACACCCTGTGCCTTTCATCCCACGCTGGAAAAACTATCTCTTATGAAGATGGAAAAAAAGAGAACAAACAAGAAAGTATGGATATGGGTATAGTATCCAATGTGTGTTAGGTTTATATCAAAGCTGTTTCCTGCTTGGGGGGCAATGCTAGCCTAGTGGTTGTTGTGTGCGCCCCATGTACGGAGGTTGTTGTCCTCGAGGCGGGTTACCTGGGTTTGAGTCCGGCCTGTGACTCCTTTCCCGCTTGTCGTTCCTCACTCTCTGGGTTTCTGGCTCTGTCCACTGTCCTGTCTCTAAGGTGAGGGCATGAAAAGCCCAAAAAATAAACCTTTAAAAAATAATTGTTTTCTTTCCCCAAATTAAGTATTTTAGAAGAATTCCCTTTGACACAATCAAACGCTGAAGGTGAAGAAAATAGTCAAATTATTTAATACAAGAGATTAATAAATCTGTAAGCCAAGGCATAAAAAAAGAGTCTTATTCAGCTAAAGTGTGTGATGGTGACTTAAGATAAAAGGGTAAAATGTGACTGAGGTGCTGTGGTTCTGGTTTCTCTGGCCTGCTTAAATAGGGAGGAGGATTCAGAGTCATGCTTCCATTGAGCCACAGCTGATTGGCATAACATTTGTTCAGCTCTGAATCAAAATGAGACTTTCATTATAAGAAGATCCTCAGTTACGCCTCGGCACGGGAACATCTCCTTCTGATCTGAACGGTATATTTATACAATTCACAGCCAAACTCTCCAATGTGCCTCCCGAGCTGCGACATTTCACAGGAAACAGAATACAAGGTCACCATTGTTTTACACTCGCACTGAATATGAAACGAGGACTATCACGAATAGATTATTACTTTATTCAGATTTGTCCCAACACAGGTTTTATACCAGCATTAATACATCAGACCCTTCTCTTGCTCGCTTTTTTTTTTCTTTTTCTCTAGTTTTTTTTCTTTCTTCAGGAAGTGTCGATGAATAATTGAACAGTCCCGTGGTCCAAATGTCACAGCAGGGAAAATTGTTTGTGGTGGCTGGTAATTAGAATTTCATTGTTTGTTATGTAGGTTTGAAATTCCTGTCATTCCACATTCCACCTCATCTCAGTGATGGCAGAAATCTCTGCGCTCATCTTTCTGGGGACACACTAAAGCAGAGATGGAGAGATGGCATCGAGCACAATACTCTCGCTCATTCAGCATCATCTCCACTGCTTCTTCTGTGTAGGCCTCACACACAAACAATTACACTCACACAAACACACTCTGTCACTGAGAGAGACAAAGCCAGTTCTTGGCAAATTTGTCTCCCACTCAAATGCATACAAAACAACCTTGGACCTTGTACAACTGGTCATTTTCTCACATGCATGAATACACACTATTGTGTGAATGCACTGTAGTGAGAGTGTAAAATATTGTATTATTTTACCCATCAGCCTCTTGTTGTTCGTATGACTGCTCTCCATTGTATGACTCCATTCTTATTTTGTTGCTGCCATGTTTAGCGCTGTCAGTGCTTGTAACTGAGGCTGACATTTTCTCTCATTGCTTTTAATGTGTTTTTGTGCGCCTTGGAGAGTGTATGTGTGTGTTGGTTCAACCTGCACGATTGTGTGTGTATCCCTGAGTGACTGTTATGTGTGAGTGTATGTGTGTGCTTGTGACAGCTTTGTATTTGCATATGAGCTGTTTTAACACAGGCGCTGGATGATGCATTATGCTTGTCTCTGAGTGCTCTGAGCGTCATGCTCAATATTTTAGGCTTTTTTTGTGTGCCATATTTCCATTTTACACAGTCTTCTCTGTTGAATTCATCATGGTGCTAGTGATGGGGATTGTGAGGATGTCATTGAAATTCTTCCTCTTACCAGCACTTATCTCTCTCCTACTTACCCTTATTTTCAAGCTGAGCTCTGCTTCTAGACCAACAGCGTGAGGGGCGTGGCTTTTGAGGGAGCACAGAGGTGAGGGGGTGGGTGCAGACGGAGCACTGAGGGAATGCTACTTTCAAAATAATGCTAGTTTTTTGAAAGTTACCAACCCTGGCCTTTAAGTGGATGATGTAATAAGCCACCTGTTGTACATGGAGGCTGTGGTGATTCTAGATTCTGTTAGGGCCCTGGGTAAAGATTCACAGGAGGGGGCCTCCAATCAGCATTCATCACCATTATGTCAGAAATAATCTGACACCAACAAAAAATACTTTATCATTGTCAAAATTCACATTAGTATTATTTTCAAAATAAAAACATTAAGAAGAATAAACCCTTCATTTTCCTTCGCTGACTTTTATTGACAAACGTCGATTTTCACAGCTATAATGCATGCAACGCTTGGAAGAGCAAATGGAGTGAAGGCTGTCACCTTAGCGAGGTTTCATACTATCATTGCAAACTTTGCAACTTTGCACATTTTGAGACACTGCTGTGGTTTAAACTTTGTCAGATCAGGGGGGGCGGCTGGGGGGCTACTGGCCTGGGGCCCCAAACAGTTCCCTGCCTTGCCTCTTGACAAGCAGCGCCCCTGAATGGAGGACTGGGATTATGGAGCTATTATTGGTGCAGATGCATTTATAGATCAACAAATGCCAACACACATCTGTACACAGATCCACAACGAACAGATCCACAAATATGTTGAGCAATTAGTTGACACTATACATCATCATCTTTGACTGAAAAGTCTGAGTGTTTTTCCTCCAAGAGCTGAAAATACACAGTAGTCATTTGTGGAATAGGTGTACAGATCTTTAGACGCATTTGTGGATCGTTTTATGCATTTGCAGATCATTTTGCGACACTAATGTGACACAGTAGTTGAAAACTGTGTTTTTATGATTTTTAGTTTTTGCTAAGTTTGTAACGTTCTCACTCAGCTGCTTGTTAGAGAAAGGTTATTGTTTTTGCTGCAACAAGTGTTGTTGTTTGTCAGTGTTTAGATTCTCATTTTTTTGTTCTAACTTTTCTGCACCATTTTCATGTTATTCCTTTTTGTCTTATTCCTTCTGTGTCCCTCATCTGCTAAACATTTTGCCCCCTCTCCTTCAACTTCTCATCCTCAGCATCTCTGCTAACTCTGTTTCCTTTCGGGATGTTTTTTTATTTTTATCTTCAGCCTTTTCATTTTTGTTGTTGTGGGTGCTCACTGGCAGAATAGGCATTGTGATGCTATTACCATCCTCCCTAAGTGAAAGTAGGCGTCGGATAACAGTTTAAGGTATCTTAAGGAAATAGCTCAAATCTGTTTTCCTAGCATGGCTTATGCTGTTTTAAATTGACTGTGTGCACAAAGGGAATTACCAGTGCTCATGCAGAAGCTCACAGAGTTAAAAAAAAAGAAGCTAAAAGAGCTCAAATAAAACAAGCTCAAAGAACTAGAACAATATGTCAGTCTTAGTTGCTAATCACAGTTATTTTCTCACCCTTTGCCCTCTGCCTGTCACATCTCTTTATGTCTCTTTCCGACATTTTGTTCTTTTATATTCCCCCTTTTCCTTCCTTCTCTCTCTGAATTTGTCTTTCTTGATCTCTCTAGCCCTCCATCTCTCCCATCATCATTCCCTTTTGTTCTCTCCATCAGTGGGAAATGGAGTTAAGTGCAGCTGTAGGCCAAATAGCCCAGTGATTGGCTCTCACTTACTCCTGCCTCCCCAGTGCGTTTGAAATCACTGATTGCAGGAAAAACAGGTCTGAATCAAAGCATGGCTATAAAAGAAACACTTTGGAGGGAAAGGTATTGTGTGGAGGTGAAGATGTATGTGAATTTCTGCTGTATGAGTCCACTTATTACACTCTTATGTACCATATAGTTGTTGTTATCAGAATCACTCATCTACTGTACAACCACCTGCCTAAACAAACAACCTCTAGTCTCTAGTTGGATGGTTTTAAAGTCTTAAATAAACTGTCCTTGAAGCGCCTTTCTTACTTGACTTCTAGACTTTGCTCTCTGTCCTGACCTTTGCCCTCTGTCCTTCCCCTCAGACGCCCTGAACACGAGGAACCGTCAGGTGATCTGCACCACGCTGAAAGTCCTGCAGCATCTGGTGGTGTCTGGAGACATGGTGGGAGAAACTCTGGTGCAGTTCTACAGACAGATCCTCCCCATATTCAACATCTTCAAGAACGTGAACAGTGAGTCCTGGCTGGACTAAATGTGTTAATTCATAGACAGATGGTGTGTCGGTGTGTGACATGCCGCTGTGCTTTTTCAGAGCAGGCATTGTGTGAGCAACTGAGAATGTCCCTTTGTGTTATCAAACAGTCTTTGTGCTAGTTCTGCTAATGCATCAAACTGAGCACAGCACTACTTTACGGTAGGTATTCATAAGAAGTATGTACACTGTGTTAAAACTGCGATGATTCCAAAGAGCTGCTGTGTTCTGGAAAGTCCTTTGACGATGGAAAGGGTTTTTTTTGAGTCGTCAAAACAGAAAGCATCCTGTCTTCTACCTATTCTGTACTCCATAGAGCTGCTGAATGAGTCCTCTACCTGAATCCCTTTTCTCCTTTTCCTCCCACCACTTAAACATCGGCTTGACAGAGAAGCTCCATATTGTCCTTTCTGCTGTCAGTCAAGGCTGCATTGTGCGCAGCTGCTGAGGAGACTCCGTCCTTGCTCTCCCTGAAAAGCCTCTACCTGGGTGACACCAGGACCTGGGGAGATTGGCATCAGATCGGCAGGGCTCTTTGTGTGGCGGTGTCAAAGCACTTAGCGTGGTGTGACATGATGTGGGCCCATTGAAGGCTTAGAGGCAAAAGCAATCCCAAACACAGCCTCCCCACACAGTCGGTAGGATGTGGAGAGTGACATTGTGAATCAATCATTTAAACACAGGCGTTAACAGGACAAAACACAAGGCTTTAGCCTCTTAATCAATATCCAATTTGAATCTCTTGTCTCTTTAATTCGCTTACATTATCTGTTACTATTTTGCTGAGGTCTAAAAAAAAAAAGGAAGGAGAGAGCTGAAAAAGAGATAGCGGGCAAAGACAAAGGATGGCGAGGAAAAGCCTGCCTTATTAGCACATGGCCGTATGCAAATCTCCTCTGAAAATTAGCTGTCAAATCAATTCCCTAAACCGTTTTGAAGCGTGAGTTCTTTCGCCGCGGCGCAGGCTGAGCAGTTGGCCGTTGAACCCCACCAGGAATAGTTTTATCTCTGCGTGGTGGTTACAGCGCCAGTGTGTACCTGCCTGCTCGCTTGTCGGTCCTCCTCTGGCGAGCGTCCATTAAACCCGCGCCAACCCCCTCACCTGGCAGATATTTCCTGCTATTGACCTCTCCCAGAGAAAACCCGTCTAGGCCAGAAAGAGGTCCACACAGCTGCCAAAGCACAGGCGCTCTGCTCTGCTAAACAAGGACAGTACTTCCTGCTCAGCACTTTATAACCATTTTTGTAGAGTTTCCCTCTCTCTTTCAAAAGTTCGGCTGGAGTTGAGCTTTAACTGAATTAAAGTGTAGCATCATTAAGCGACTTAAACACAGGCAGATAATATTTCCCAGTGTTATTATTTTCTTTGCCATTTCCCATCTGGAGCTTTGGTGTTAGATAAGCTGTCAATCCAAGTCCTGCACCACCCACTCCCTGCTAACACATAAAGATACTACTTCAAATAGCGAGAAGAAACGCTTCTCTTCTGGGGACTAAACACTATGTGAACCAGAAGTCTTGTGTTCTCTCTCTCTAATACGCAAATATTTCAGGGTTGTTGTTCCCTCTTGCTCTTTTCTCTTGCTCTCTCTCTCTCTACTCTGTTTTATGTCCCTCGTTTGTATCAATATCAAAGCTCTTATTGAAGTCCATCTATTACCTAATATCTCTTACATTCACCTCCAGCTCCGTCCCACGCTCTGTCGGCTGTCTCAACCCGAGCCAGCGTGCAGCCTCTAGCAGACAGGCACGATCATTGTGTTTAATACAGCAGGAGACACAGAGGACTGCCTCGTAGTGTGTGGTAACGTCTCCCCTTGGCTCTCCCACACTGTAACTCACAGAGCTCGCATGGCATCCCTCTTATCTCCTGAGTCACAAGCAGGCCACTGTCCAGCATGTTGCCAAGTGTGTGTCTGCATTTGTGTACATCTGTCATGAATAGATCTTGTTGTGTCCCATAGGCAGCTGTTGATGAAGGCCCCAGTTTTTCCATCTCTATCTGTCTTTATTTTTTTCTCAGCCTCTGGCACATAATGCTCCACTAGACTGCTACTACACGCTCACAAACAAGCACATTCACAACATCCACATAATCACACGTTGTCCCAGCTGAGGCTACACACCCTGACTCTGTCTCCCCCCGTTGCTTGAGCTGTGAATCAATAGACTGACAGCCAGGGATTCGGGGGCTACACCGAGATATCACCAACATCTCATCATGGGACAGATCCCCCTAGGCTGTGTTCACACACTCCGGCTGTGTGGTTCCCCGTTCTCAGACAGGGTTGTGACCTGTTAAATTGGTCTGTATACTGGCCTTATCTGAGCCATCCATCTTTTTTTTGTCCAGGGTCAGGACTTGAACTTAACAGCCATCTCCAAAATGGACCCTCTGGTGTTCTTTTCACTCAGACAGCGCCCTGGACCTCTGACCAGGAGAATCTGTCACGACCCACATGCTCGTTTTTCTTCTTCTTCTTCTTTTTTTTTTTTTTCACAAGATCCCGGCTTCTGAGGAAGGAATGGATCTGTTGTTCAATGTCTTGAAATGAAAAAAAAAAAACTGCCTGTTTAACTCCAGGCAGCCGGATGACATTCTCGGCACTGCCACAGTAATGCGTCATTTTGAAGTGCACAATAATGAGCAATCACATAGTATCACCGTCCTTGATATACCCCTTTGTCTCCTGAATCAGCTCTCTCAGCTTTTGTTTGCTTTGTGCCTTTTGCGAATCAGCTGTGTTTGTGTGTGTGTGTTTTTATGTATATGTGTGTGTGTATATGTGTGTGTGTGTGTGTATATGTGTGTGTGTGTGTGTGTGTGTGTGAGAGAGAGAGAGAATGTTGTGTTTGGTGTAGGAATTCCTCCAATGCGATTTGCATGGCTCTCTTGTTTGCTTGCTGTGATGAATCTCATCCCTAATGAAATGCAACAACGTTCCTTATGAAGGAGAGATGTGCTCCCTCATCCAGCAAATTCCTCTTGTGAGCTCCAAGGAAGGGAACTCATCATCTGTACGTCATCAGAGCAGGAGAGAACAAGGGTTTTAGTGAGTTTTTACAAGACAGCTGAGTAAAAGACACACAGAGAAGGTCTTTTGGTACAGATAGGGTGCCAAAGTCTAACATTAGGAAAAGGCCTGACATAAATGACTCACATGATGTATATATTTTTTCACTTCTATTAGACAAACACTTAAACACACTAAAAACGTTCTCAACATTTGTTATGGCTTGTCATCTACCTTACTATACTCCTCCATCATCCTGGTTATCTCTTAGCTTTTGTTAGCTTTCAAAATACGGTCAACATCTTTCATACTCCTTTCATTCACCGTCTGTAGATGCAGCTTTCGCATGTTTGGCACCAGCTTCTCTAAATATCATTCAGCATCTTTCAGACATTACTTAAAGTGTATACAACTACTTTTTAAATCATGCAGCATTCACAGCATTTCCAATATCTTTCATACGCAAATTATTAGTGACCAAAAGAATAAGAACGCGGATACAAGCGGCCAAAATTAGTTTTCTCCAGAGGGTGGCCGGACTCAGCCTTAGAGATAGGTTAAGGAGCTCAGACATTCGGGGGGGGGGGAGCTCGGAGTAGAGCCAGTTGATGTGGTTCAGGCACCTGATGAGGATGCCTCCTGGACTGCTCCCTTTGGAGTTTTTCCGGATAGGCCCAACTGGGAGGAGACCCCGAGGTGGACCCAGAGTTTACTGGAGAGGCCTGGGAACGCCTTTGAATCCCCCAGGAGGAGCTGGAAAAAGTTACTGGGTAGAGGGAAGTCTAGGTTGATTTACTCTGCTAGCTGCTACCATGACCCTACCTCGGATAAGCTGAAGAAAATGGATGGATGAATGGATGGACGCAAATTAGTCACCTTTTTCAGACACAGCATTAGCAGTTTGCATTAGCATTAAACATCCTCTGAAAAGCATCCAATGAGAGCAGCTCGTGAAGTTAAAGCTCTTTTTGTTACTTGTCCAACTGAAGCAGCAAACTTAAACGCCTTTTTCCCGCCGTTCAGTTCTGACTTTTGGAAACAGACTGCAGAAAAAGGTCCTGAGGTTGAAGATTACAAGTCCCTGTACTCTTCTGACTCATGTAGGTCAGAGGGTACGCAGGAAGTAGACCTTAAATAGACTTGTAGATAAGAATATGCCATGGTTTAAGTGTGTACGGTGAAAGAAGTCCATCCAACACAAGCATTCAGCAAACAGTGATGAATGAAGGGATTTAAAATGAGTCATTCAGATGTGGCATTCAATTTACCAGCGCATGGATACATGACTATTAGATTAGTAATCAGTACCTATTAAGAAAAGCTGGACACAGCTCACAAATAAACTAATCAGTACCGAATCATGTTTTTGTTCCATTAACTCCCCTCACTATTTTTATCGTAATAAAGCAGCAACAGCCACAGGCTACAGAGGGAAATGCTTGTCCTGACATCTTCAATACATCTATGGCTGTTGTTCCTTGTGTCTGCATGAAGCTGAGTCTTGCCTCGAGAGACTTTCTGTTTTTTTGTTTTTTTTGTTGTTGTTGCTGAATTTGTACCATTATTGTTGTTGATGATTGTGATCCTGATGATTTTCTCCGCTTATCTGTGAGGTGTAGGTCCTTAAACTCCGATTCATCACTGACAAACACTCTCTCTCTCACACACACTTATACACACTCATTCGTACACCACATTGCTCACACACACACTGCAGTGATCTGGTTCATTTGGCCTCTTTTATCATCCTGCTAGGAATGTGGCCAGCTATGATAAGGTCTCACCCACGTGCATTCCTGAGCTTACTCACGCGCACACACACACACACACACACACACACACACACACACACACACACACACACACACATACACACACACACACACGCAGAGGTTGTGATAGTGGCTCTCTGTCTTGTGTGCCTGGGCGGCCTGTGAGGTTTTTGTGTTGGTGACAGATGCAGTGT